AATTTTTAGGAGAAGAAAACAGGGAAAAATTAATCTGTTTTCTTCTCCTGAAAATTTGGTGAGCCTTATGGAGAGGGCCGTCTTATGGAACACACCCTAGCTCCCCCTGGACCCGTGGGGGTGGGGTGGAGGAAGCATGGCTAGGGTCCAAGGGAGCCTTCCAGACCCTTGCCACACTCCCCCCACCCCCCCACGGGGCCATGCCTGAGCGGCCAGAGCCTGCCGCCCCACACCGTTGAGCCAGCTGCCTGCTCGCCCGCCTTAAAAAATAATTAGATCTTTCTACTCCTGTGTGAGCCTCTCCCATGTGCTAGCTGGCAGTACAGTTTAACTGTTGTTTAACCTCTGATGGTTTCCCTTTCATCAGGTCTTCCATCTGGTTGAAGCGCTCATTTACCTGCTGAAATCCTGTTATTATGGTCATTTGCATGGTAACCAGCCATTCTTTATCTGGCAAAATTCCCAACCGTTGATATTTAAAATTTTCGGAGGTCATTTCCATCTTTCCAATACATATGGTTTGTATAAATAATTTTTTTTGATTCCACTATTTTGTCAACAAACCAAACCCATCATCATAAACCTCCCCTAGGTATGTCCTCCCCTCCTTGCCCAGATATTATAGCAATATTATCAAAATCCACACAGCCCAACCAAGAGAACGTTCAAACTAAACAGCAAACACAGGGAGCCAGTCTCTCAAAAGATATCATTGTAGTCCTTCAGTAACTCCAGTCCTGATTTTCTTAGGTCCTCAGTCTATTTATTCTGTTATGTTCCTCTCGCTGATGAGCTGATGATTCACTGTCCGTTGGACCCAAAGATTTATTCTTCCTTCTAAAACCAAACACGCTTCTATTATCAAAGTCCCATTCGACTCTAGTCCTGGCTTCTCCAGCTCTTCAATCTATGTCGCCACATTGATGATTCATAGCCTGTTTTTTATTCCCAAAAGCTTATTCCTCCTCTTCCAAAGACAAGATTTTATTTTCAAAGCCCCACTCAAACTAGGGAGAAAAATCCAGACTACACAGCATTGACAAGATTTCAGTCCCTTGAAGCCTGTTGAGTAGTATTTCCTCTGGGATTTTTTTTCCAGAAACACAATTTATTTCCGTCTCACTGCCTATTTCACTGACCTTGAGCCAGCCTGCTAATTATAAACTTGCTGTTTAAAAGTCAGTTCGCTTTGAAGAAGCAGGCTGGCGGGCACGGCTCGCCGCTTCCTCTCTCTTCTTTCGGTCGAATATTTTCACTTTAGTTTCTTTTACATCTTAATGAGGTTATTCATAAATCAAAGACTTTGTTATTGTATATTCTCGGCCATATTTTTGTTCTCCTTCCTCGGGAATTTGGGGGTGGAGTTTCTCACAGCTTTCTGCCATAAAATGGCCTCCGTCTCCGGTCCGTGCTTGGGTGAATTTTCAGAGGGAAGAAAGACCCGACTGCTGCCAAATCTTCTACCTTCTGGGCTCACCATCTGCTTCAGGGTGACCTCTCCTGGCCTCCCCTTCGGTCCTCCCTTTCTAGAGGGACCCCAGACCGCGCAGTTCCAACTTTCCTTGGGAGCTGTTGCCGGGAGCTGCTGGCGTCGCTGCGATCAAGCTCCATCTTCCTGCCCCCTACTTTCTTCACAGTTGTCCTTCCGAGTCTCAATTTTCCTCTGCTCTTTCAACTGTAGGCTCCATTTGGATTTCTGATTGAACTAAGGCACAGAAAATCTTTAGCAATTTTAATTTCTTCACTGTTAATCTTAAAATTATGCAATTTCCTCTGAAGTCATGATTGTTTACTTGCAATCCTGCTTTGGTACTTTCTTCTCTCACCTTAGTAGCTGTTTTAAGTCATTGCTGCTTTCCGCCAATAAAATTGTATCAAATGCATAACTTAAAGTACTGAGGTTTCTTCCAGGAATGTTCATGCCTCCTTTATCTGAATCTAATTCAGCTTTCTGCATATCTTTTGTGGGCAGATTGAGTAAATGGGGAGATAAAACAGACCTTTGTCTGACTTCTTTGCCTATGGAAATCAATTCTGTCTCAATGGCAGTTTCTTGCCCACAGTATAGGCTACATATCAGGACAAACAAATATTGTGACACAAGCATTTCTTTTAGAAAGACCCATAGCATGTTGTTATTTATACAGCTAAAAGCTTTGATGTAATCTATAAATCATAGACTTTCCATTGATGTTCTTTGGTATTCTCCTGTAGCCAACATGTATTTGCAATGTGATATATAATGTCTTTCTTTTCTAAATAAAGCTTGACCACTGGGCATTTTTTACTTTTGTGTCTCATCAGACTATAGCACTCCAATTCAACAAGAAAAAATATGGAAAAAGGCAAAAAGGCATATGTGTAAGTGTACTGAACTGAATAAAAACAATTACTTTCTTTACTTTATTTATGCCAACCGCCTTGACAAAAGTACTTTGGGGGAAGTTATTCTGAAAAGGACTGAAAAATGTATGTTGGACTCTTTTTTAACTGAACTGATTCTAGGAAGAACACTGCTTATAGAAGAAAGGAGGAAGGAAAATAAAAGATGATAAAGAGATTAACTCTACTTGCCTATTTAGAATATCTGCTGCAATTAACAGAAAGCCCAGAAATCCACCCCACCACCACTTGGGGCAAATGCCAGGGACAAGTGAGAATTCAGTACCATTTTCTGTATGTTGAACACATGATATGGTACTTAACCTTCCCCTCTGCAGCCCTCTCCCACTGTAGCCTCTAAAGAGGAAATATAGTGTCAAGGAGTATATTTATGTCAATCCTTTCCACCTCAGTTAATATGAAAAGGGAAGAAAGGCATAGGAAAAACATAAACAAAAGACAAATGAATTATGACATTTCTGAGACTATCACATTTATTTCATTATGAGCTTTTCTGGATTGCCATGACATTTTTTCTGTTTTTGCATAAACAGACTAAGAATTCTTGTTCTGCTGTAAGGAAAGGGTCCTGCACAGATGGTGCCTTCAATTTTATTGGCATTATTTGTGTTGGTACTGTTCGGTGTGGTTGAATACATCCTTCTGTACTTTTGATATTTGTGTATTTCATCACGGTTCATTATGTCACCAGTTGAGGCATGACATTGAAATATCTAACTTGCCTTGTTTCTTGCTTTTTCTTTGGAGGCGGGATTAATGCTATCATTGACCAGCCCTTAACAAGAAGGAACACTCTAGTTACAATTGCATTTGGAAATCAACTTTCTCTGATACCGTTCCCCTGAACTTATCAAGGTAAAGGTAAAGGTTCCCCTTGAGAATTTTTGTCCAGTCATGTTCGACTCTAGGGGGCAGTGCTCATCCCCGTTTCCAAGCCATAGAGCCAGCGTTTGTCCAAATACAATCTTCCGTGGTCACATGGCCAGTGAGACTTAGACACGGAACACTGTTACCTTCCCAACAAGGTGGTCCCTATTTATCTACTTGTATTTGCATGCTTTCAAACTGCTAGGTTGGCGGGAGCTGGGACAAGCAATGGGTGCTCACTCCATTACGTGGAATCGCTCTTACAGCTGAAGATCTACAGACCTTACAGCACAGAGGCTTCTGCGGTTTAACCTGCAGCACCACCACATCCCATGTCACCATGAACTTATGAAACACTTTTTTAAAAAAGATTCTGTCTACTGAATTTTATTTTGGCTTGATTTTGGAGGGTGGGGAGGGAAATTAATGTTGTCATTGATAGACTGATCTCAGCATTTGATGGGAGGATGGCTGCACTGAAAATATGCTGTCTTTGACACTAACATTTTGAAGCACTCCCAAGCCACCCTGTGAAAAAATCACATCCTCTGTGAACCTCTGTACTGGATTTTGTTGTTACTGCTTATGAATCAGCACTAACACTGAAAATCTTCCCAGCCAAGAAACTCTTGCCACCTGATCTCGACCGTTCGAGGTGAATTAGCAAGAGTCAAGGTGGAAATTTTTTTAAGTGCTACAAGAATTAGTGCACTGCCTGAAGGTCCAATGCAAGTGTTCCATGATTTTCTGGGGGAGGGGGGAGGAGGAGGAGGAGCAACACACAAGAGATACACTAAGGGTGGAGAAGAAATAGACAGGGTTGGGGGTGCAGTGAGGTCATGAGACAACACAGCAACTGGCTTCCTGCACAAGAAAGGGGAGATGGAACACCCTGCTACAAAATAAACTTCTGAGGTGAAATTAAGAAGCAATAATTTCTGCAAATTACCTAAAAAAATGGATTCAAGAAGTGCAAAACAATATGCTTCTTTTCAGCCATCTGGATGAGTGAAACTATTTTCTCTGAAATCTGATTTCTGAAACAGTTTTCATGAAACCTGATCTTCCCTCTACCTACAATTATAGCACACTGCACTTTTGCAAGTTGAAAACATTTATGTACCTGGTTGACCTGACCAATCTAGCCAGCAGGGTGCGCTTTTCTTCATTAGAGAACTGCATGACACCAGGAGTTTCAAATTTCTGCCTTATCCATTGGCACTGTTCCAGATCATTAATAAACATGAATTCTACACCAATGTGCTGACAGTAAGCCATCTGTTCAACATGGAAAGACAGAATACCAGTTAAAGCAGACCTAGTACATCTCCAAGCACAAATTAAAATACCTTTTATTTCACAGTTTAACGCTAATGTACTTATTGGGGTACAATGAGCTTTCCAATTTGACTATCACAACCACCTCTATGTGGTAAATTTGTCTGTCAGACAGAATCAGAACTATTCAGCAAAGCTTCAAAGATGAATTAAACACTTAAGTCCAGGTCTTGACAATCCAAACACTACACATTATACCACTACAGTGGTTCTGAACTGAAATTCACTTCTCAGTAAACATCATTATGGGTGAAGACTGTACTGTATACAGTTATCTTCAAATATAGTAATTAAAAGAAACAAATAAAAAACAAAAACAAAAGCTGGATATTTCTGCTGTCCAGTTAAGTCACTGATTTTCAAGCCATGGAAATTTATCATGGTGGACAAAGTTCCGGGTTTTGGGGGAGAGGGAGATGAGGGACCCAACAGTTTGACAATTATTACAAATCTAACTCCATAAAATATAGTTGCAGAGCAATGCTGGTGTGTATGATTCATTCACATGGGGCAATGATTAAAGCTCCAAATGCCCAGCCAGTGCTGTGTAAAATGAGTATGCTTACATCATGCTTCAGAATCCTGACATTGCAAAGAGGTTCTGGGCCAGACAAGTTGAAGTTTCAAGTGTTCTCTCAAGATAGAAGTTTGAAATCTAATGAATAAAGCCTCTACAGAAGTGGCACTACTAACTGAGCTTTAAAACTGTCACATTCAGAATTTTAACACAGCAAGGGGAGTGCAGGAGATACAAATATACCCGAAAAAGGAATACTTGGGAAGTGGTAGCAAGACTAGCCTTTTAACAGTCTGGCTTGAAATTATTTTTAGGCATTGTCATGATACTGACACGTAACCCAAGCAGAGGTTACAAGGTTCTATTTCCTTCATCAGAAAATGGCAATGTGTTATGAAATATGTAAATGAGAACCTGGCCATTAACAGAGAGAGGATGTGGCCTTTAGAACTATAATAAAGGGAGACACATTTTGAGATGATAAGATAAACTGGTAAAAGGAACTGCTGCAGAAGCAGCGGAGCATTTGATTATTCTGCATGGACAAAATTATAGCAGGAATAGGATTGAGTTTTTTTCCTATCATACCCATCCCCTTTTCTTTGTTTAACAGTTAGTAGTAGTAACTGTTTTGTGTGGTAAATAGAAGGAACTCATACTTGCAAACAAAACTACTATAAAAAAGAGGGAACAAAGTTGTTTCCATGAGGGACAGCTATTATAATTTCCACACTTCCGCAGTTTTTGGAGTTGAGCATTCATGAGGATCAAGTCTCACAGTTTCTCATTTGTTGCTGCATGCCTTGACAGTCATACTTTGGCTTCTATTTTACTACCTTTTACTACCTTTATAACCACTGAACCAAGGATCACATTCCCGTCTAGTGTGGATTAATGAGGGTTCATACCAGGTTTGGAAATATACTGTACATTTGAAATTAAGTATACTCTGCATTTCCATGCAGCCTGGCTCTAGAAGGTAAATCTATACATGAACTTCCACAATATTCCCAGAAGAATTATCTCTGACTTTTTTGTCTTAAGGTTTCAAAGAACAACATCAGTCCTCAGAAACAATATGATCAGTTATTGTGATTCCTATGAAATGCTCAGCATTTTCAGAAACACATGGTATGGTAATAAGCTTATTCAGGTTCTTCACTTAAAAAGGAAGAACTCATAACTGATGGCAGTTACTACTTTTAATGAATACGGTATGGCTTCTGAATACTGCAAGAGCATTGTTTTCAGAACTGAGTTTTCCAGGTGTGCTCTTCTACAAATGGCAACCAGGATCACTGCATCATCACTAGTACCAACAGTGGGACACAGGCTGGAAACAATGTGTGTCCCTCAGAAGGCTGCTTCCCAGACAACTTTACCTAAACCAAGGAAATGCCTTTTTGGAAAATGTGTGTATACTGTACAGTTGCTTCGGAAGTGAGACATCAGCATTTATTTTGCTATATTTGTGAAAGACAGTTCTTCATATATGGAGATCATTTAAAGGTAGCAAATATTAAACTTCTATCTAGTCTTGATCTCTTATAATTTCATATTTGTGCTTGCTTATATTTGTGTACTAGTGTTGAGATCTAGGTTCCAGTTCCATTCAACAATGAAGCTCATTGGATAACCTTGGGGCAGCTGCCATCTCTCAGCCTAAGCGACTTCATAGTTTTGAGGAAACAGTAATAATTATAGCTTCTACTCTAGTACTGAAGATTACCATTATCTTAAACAAGGCTTCTGGACTAATACCATCTAAAAATTGTTGCAGGAAAAGTGATTTATTATTATTATTATTTATTTAATTTATATCCCGCCTATCTAGTCGTGGTGGACTACTCTAGGGTAACAAGTTTATTTCTGATTTGACAACGGTTTGATTTTTATACCCTCACACTTGAACAAGAAAACTCTGCACATAATAATCTTGGGATCGGCTCTTGGCAATCTTCTTCCCAACTCCTGGCATGAAGGAGTGGCTGTCTGAATAAGAGTATGTGTTTAATTGAAAATAATTTGAGTGAACATTTTTACGTTGATGCAAGAAAGAAGGCCCAATGCCTGCAGTCTGACTTCCTACGCATAGACTGGTGAATAAGAAGAACAGCGGGTGTGGGGAACCACTGGCTAGAGAGATGTTGCTGAACTACAAATCCCACCAACCCCAGCCAATGCAGTCAATGGTCTAGAACAGTGGTGGCAAACCTTTTTGGGCTTGCATGCCCAAACTGGAGGGGGGAAAACCAGTGGGTTGCCGTGGCGGCTGCCGAACCAGAAGTGGTGGCTGCCGAACCAGAAGTGGCAGTGGAAGGGGGAGTCCCAGCATGGAGGTGCCTCGAGACTCCAGATCTGTTGCCAGTGCCAGGTGCTCCAGATTCGCCTACTGAAGCACAGCACTGCGGCTGCAGCTGCCTTCTCAGGTTTGGCTGCGCGCGTGTGTGTGTGTGGGGGACAGCAATCCGGTGACTTATGGCTTGGGGGGGGACAGCAATCCGGTGACTTATGGCTTGTGTGTCAGCAGAAAGGGCTTCGTGTGCCAGCTGTGGCACGTGTGCCATAGGTTCGCCATCACTGGCCTAGAAGCTACAGACCAACATCTGTACAGCCAAATGCTCCTCATCTCCTAGGAAGAGAAATATCATAACATTCTTTAATTCTCCACTGCTTCTGCACCTCTTACCTCTAAACGGCAGATGATTTCCCGAAGTGGGAGAGCAGATTCATTTCCACCAATAAAAGTGGTAGTAGGCAAGCGGAAGACTTTGTCGAGGTCTGATTCATCCAGGCCATAAAACCCTGCAGATGTTCATGGACAGGAGAAGGCAAAGGAGGAGTGGGGGAAGGTGTTCGATGCAGATAGCCATGGTAGAGCAATCAGGTTTTGGTGGAGAAAGGAAGAGACAAGAAAGCAGCACAAAATAAGCATGAAGACGATTTGTATGAATTAAATTACAAGCAGGAGTTAAAATGATGGATATGTATTCAAGAAAAAAAGGTTATTATAAGGTATGGAGCAGATAAATATAAGCCATATACAGTACTTGATACAAAAATTGGTAATTATACTCAAGGAAGGAATCAAAACAAAAATTTAAGACCCAAATACATATATTTTAGAATATGAGAGGATACAGGTATTGCAAGCATATATTGTTACCACATTTCACCACATATTCAGAATTAAAAGTAAAGTGAAGCATGAAATAAAGTGTTAAAGAACCAACTTCCAGAACCAAAAGGTTGAAAAGTAGCAAGAGTTTAAAGTTCTGCAGCGGACTCTCCTGAATAGCTCACTATGAAGGGGGCCAAACACTTCAAAGCGAGTTGGTCTCTCTGAAAGTAAAACACATCTCACTATATAGCTCTCAAATGCTTTGCTTCCTTCAAGTTGTGCAATTATTTCTCAGCACTCCATTTAAATATCTATGATCCAAAGGCTTCAGTCTGCAAGATTATCATGCTATCACAGATACTTCAGCATCAACTACTTGAATAATTATGGGTATTTCAGCTGAACAGTTACCAGTTCTGAAGAACAGAAAGATTCTATACAACAACCTGGCGTGAACTTTATGATGTTAAAGACAAACTTCTAACGCTTATCTACTTAACCATCAGTCAGCTATGCACAAAAATCTCTTCTATTATAAACAAAAATTGCTTTCCATTTCGAATCAGTGAATTAATGCTGCATCAATGCATAAATAAATAAATAAATCTAACACGCTGACATCTATCGAACAATAGCCGTGTGAAGTTAAACTAATTCTATCTAGGGGGAGATAAAAATCAAGCCAAAATGATGAACTAAAAATATGCTTAGATTCTGGTGTAAGGCTGTTGATTGAAGGGGCTAGATCAGGACTAGATAACTATGGCCCTCCAGATATTTCTGGATGGCAATTCCCATAACTGTAGAGTTACTCTTTCTAATGAGATTAAAAACAAACAAACCTCATTCACAGCTTTTAGAAATCTACCATTTTTTGAATGCGGTGACTGATCAACTACAGAGGTCTTATGCAGTCAAATCCAAATCAAAGTCAAAACTAGGTACAATTTAGCAGACATATTCACAATCACAACATCAGGAAAGTTGAAAAATACACTCAGATCCACATTAAGCAAAGGTTTTGTTTTGTCATAAACAGAAAGAGAGAAGCTGTTCAGTTCTAAGAAGTACATATTAGTACTGTATTTAAACTAATATTGCTCATTTCAAACATCAGATGTAAAAGCATCTTTACAGCTAGCATCTTAATTACAGTTAAGAATATGGGCATCTACTGCTTAGCACTTCTGCAAGTTTACAGTCCTTTTCTACAAAGAGAGTTCAATCTCTTTACAATGCAGAAAGATAATCAAGAACTCTTTAAGGATGTTTGGATGTTATTATTTGGAAGCTAAACATTAGTGTGGAACATTCTATACAACAAAGTCAAGTAAATTCATACAACTCAGCCTAGGCACAACAGTCTCACAGCAACTTGTCCCAACGGACATCCAACAACAGTAAAAACCAGGATGCTAAAGCACAGCAAAAGTTCCTGAAACACTCGACACAAAACAAAATGGCAAGCAAACAACAGGAAAACGGCTACCACCATGAACCAAACAAAAAGAATACATAATATGGAAGCAAGATTGATGGAGCACTTCAATCACACATACCTGTTTCACCTTTAACATGGAAAACCATTTTGGGAAGTAATGCTGTTGTTGTAACATCAGACTACAACTTTACCTAAACTGTACCTGCCCGGAGTCAACTATTCAGGGAGTCCTAACTTCCAGAAGAGTTAAACACTCATTATTTGCATACCTCCTACTGTTAGCACTCTCAGCCGCTCCTTGAATACAGCAAGATCTGAGGAAGGAGGGAAAGTGGGATGCAGAAAGGAGAAGACAGAGAGACCCAGTCAAAGTTAGTTTTTTAAAACCCCAGAGATCTAAGAAAGTGTCACGTAAAGAGGAAGTTAGCTTTTCAAGCAATACTCAAACATAAACAGTTAAAAGCACAAAAGACAATAAAGGATTAAAATGAAGAATGATTACATTACTACAAGGGGAATAAATCCTTGAGTGAACCTTTCAGAGCCAGCCATTTATTATTTATTACATTTATACTCTGCCTTTCCACTAAAAGACAGCACTCAAGATAGTTTACAAACTTTTTAAAAATAAGTATATATGCCATACAAAGAATGAAGGGTGCATAAGTTACACCATATAGATACAGTTATGCTATATGGTTTGAGATCTCCTCATTATTTACCCAGGAATATATGAATTCATTTAAATCCACTGAATAAGGATCTACAGCAGAGATTACTACGCAAACATAGTCTTAGGTTCCAGAAACGTACATCTTGGTCTAAACAAAGACCTTAGCTTTCTTTCTTTCTTAAAACTACTACATTTACCTCACACTCTTCGTCCACAAAGGTTGCGATAGTGTTTCTACACATACTTTAACCTCACTACTAACCTGTAAAGTAAATTACATATGAAACTGAAGATCAGAGAGATTCACATTTGAATTTGTATACCCGACCTTCAAGTTTACAACGTAACTGCTTGCTGCTCCTGACGCTCCCGCTGTTATGTTCAGGTTAGTTTATCAACATGGGGATAACCGACAATTATGTTGCTTTAGTCCTCTTTGCTTTGCTGTAGCACCCTTTTTAATGCTACTTTCTAAGAAGGAACAATTTACTAACATAAATTTGACAAACAGAAATTAGTTTTATTACTTCTGATATGGCTAATGTTTTTCATTTGGTCTCAATGTTTAGCACTTTAATCTGCTTTGAATATGGGCTGTGAAAGGAGGAAAACATAGGAACTCTCTCATCTCATGGATCTGAGACAGAAAGCTTTCAGGATACTTCTGTAAACACTGTTATCTGTATGCATCTATCTACATTCCTTGTGCAAAATTGTATTTTCTTTGTTCAAAGGGCAGTGTTGTCTTGACTTGGGAACTAAATGATACCTTGCAGCAATTGTGTCAGCTGAGCATGGATGCTCTAGAGCACGGGGTCCCCAACCCCCAGTGCGGTGCCGATCCGTGGGCTTCCTGGAACTGGACCACGGAGACAGATCTCCGCCCCCTCTGCGAGCACGACACCCTCCCACAAGCATGGCATGCCCCTCCACATGAGTGAGCATGACACCCCCCCCACAAGCATGGCATGCCCCTCCACATGACACGCCCCCTGCGAGTGTGACACGCCCCCTGCGAGCACGACACCCCTCCGCAAGTGTGACATGCCCACCCGCAAGCATGACATGCCCCCCTGCAAGCACAGGGATGCCCCTGCCCCCCCCGCACACAGAGCCCACCCCCCCAACTGCTCTGCAGTCCCAAAAAGGTTGGGCACTGCTGCTCTAGAGCATTATGTGAAGGGTCTCAATGTCAAGAGAAGAAAATCAAGCATGGTAAAGTGCTAGTGACGTTTTATAAGAGCTTTGATATTTCTTCCATGAAAGGGAGTGCAGACAGCACTTCAGACTGTCAAGGGTCACTGGAGAAACAGAACAGTTGCCTTCAAAAGGCTACTGCTTGTGTAGCCCAAGGTGTAGTCTGAGGCTCAGAATGGAACCCAAGTGATTCAGACAAAGATGCATAGTCAGATAAGAATTGAAGCCCTGCCACCCTAATCCATATTCCTCAGGACAGATGTCAGATGGATACTTATTTGCCTCAGCTGACCAAAGTGCCAATCCACTAAGTGAAAGATGAGAAGGTGGATAACTATTGTATTCCTGCATTGAGCAGGGGGTTAGCGAGAAGGTAGATAACTATTGTATTCTTGCATTGAGCAGGGGGTTAGACTTGATGGCCTTGTAGACCCCTCCCAATTTCACTTTTCTAGGATTCTATGATTCTAACTCTTTAACGGGAAACAGCCTCAAAAAGTTATTGTCCAGGTTTGCCCTGAAGCTTCCCTGTTAAGCTTTTCCACAGCAGCAATGACCATTACTGTAAACAGCTTCTCATTCCACAATAAATTCATCAGAGAAATCAAGAAATGATAAGAAAAAGCAATACTTCGGAGGCAAAATTGTGAAAAACATAGGGCTGTGAAAAACATTATGATCATTGATGTTAGTACTAGTCAAAATTTCTCAAACCATTGTCCAAATAGTCTGAACTTGCTCCTTGCCAAAGGTACAGATGGGTAGCTAGAATGGCACAGGTCAACATCAGAGAAAATAGTTTGCAGGACAAGTATCCCAATGGTCTCAACAGCAACTCTGCAAGTCAGGTCATGTTAAAGCCGGGCACTTCTATGTGGGTGGAACAAGACGTTTTAATGGGATGATTAAATCCAGGGTGGCCTTACAAATAAAAACAAACCTTTTAAATCCACAACAGTCTATTTCCAAATAACTACATATACAGTATATCACAGAAGTGAGTACACCTCTCACATTTCATAAGAATTTTAGTATAGTATATTTTTTTATGTGACAACACTGAAGAAATGACACTTGGCTACAATGTAAAGCAGTGAGTATATAGCTTGTATGACAATGTAAATGTGCTGTCTCCTCAAAATAATGCAACACATAGCCATTAATGTCTAAACTGCTGGCAAGAAAAGTGAGTATACCCCTAAGTGACAATGTCCAAATTGGGCACAAAGTGTCAATATTTTGTGTGGCCACCATTATTTTCCGGCACTGTCTTAACCCTCTTGGGCACAGAGTTCACCAGAGCTTCACAGGTTGCCACTGGAGTCCTCTTCCACTCCTCCATGATGACGTCACGGAACTGGTTGATGTTAGAGACCTTGTGCACCTCCACCTTCCGTTTCAGGATGCCCCACAGACGCTCAATAGGGTTTAGGTCTGGAGACATGCTCGGCTAGTCCATCACCTTCACCCTCAGCTTCTTTAGCAAGGCAGTGGTTGTTTTGGAGGTGTGCCCTGTGGCCCAGTCTCCAAAGGATCATGCTCTGCTTCAGTATGTCAAGTACGTGTTGGCATTCATGGTTCCTTCAATTAACTGGAGCTCCCCAGTGCCAGCAGCACTCATGCAGCCCCAGACCATGAGACTCTCACCACCGTGCTTGACTGTAGCCATGACACACTTTTCTTTGTACTCCTCACCTCATTGCCGCCACAGACGCTTGACACAATCTGATTCAAATAAGTTTATCTTGGTCTCATCTGACCACAGGACATAGTTCCAGAAATCCATGTCCTTAGTCTGCTTGTCTGCAGCAAACCGTGTGCAGGCTTTCTTGTGCATCATCTTTAGAAGAGGCATCCTTCTGGGACAACAGCCCTGTAGAACAATTTGATGCAGTATGCAGCGTATGGTCTGAGCACAGACAGGCTGAACCCCCCCCCCCCTTCAAACTCTGCAGCAATGCTGGCAGCACTCATACATCTATTTCCCAAAGCCAGCCTCTGGATATGATGCTGAGCATGGGCACTCAACGTCTTTGCTCGACCATGGTGAGGCCTCTTCTGAGTGGAGCCTATCCTGTTAAACTGCTGTATGGTCTTGGCCACCGTGCTGCAGCTCACTTTCAGGGTTTTGGAAATCTTATAGCCTAGAGCATCTTTATGTAGAGCAACAATTCATTTTTTCAGATCCTCAGCTCATTACCATGAGGTGCAATGTGGAACTTCCAGTGACCAGTCTGAGAGAGTGAGAGCGATAACACCTGCTCCCCTTTCACACCTGAGACTTGTGACACTAACAGGTCTCATGACACCAGGAGCTGGAAAACAGCTACTTGGGACCAATTTGGACATTGTCACTTAGGGGGGTACTCACTTTTGTTGCCAGCGGTTTAGACATTAATGGCTGTGTGTTGCGTTATTTTGAGGGGACAGCACATTTACACTGTTATACAAGCTGTATACTCACTGCTTTACATTGTAGCCAAGTGTCATTTCTTCAGTGTTGTCACATGAAAAGGTCTACTAAAATAGTTATGAAATGTGAGGGGTGTACTCACTTCTGTGATATACTGTACACCTTTCCAAGAAGATCTGGAAGTCACTGAAATAATCTGCTTCTAAAGCAATGCTGATTTAAGAAATTTCAGGATCATCTTGCCCCCCACCAAGACCAAAAACAAACAAAGCCCAGGAATTGCGCAAATCTTTACTTTGGTTAGATACATTTTATAATCCTTTCACCACTCTACACAAAATTTCCATTTTAGATTTTAGTGCAATGGTGAGTAAATACACCAATAAATCATACCCTGCTGGTGACTCATCCTAGTTAACATTTTCATATTTAAGAATGCAATGACTTTATACTTGTCTGAATTCACCTTTCAGACAGCAGATGACAGGTCGGCAATCTTCTCTGTAAACTGCATTTTAGAAACTTGTGGCAACTTTGATGCAGATCATTACTAAAAGTAAAAGCAATGCTACACAGGATGAAAGCCTATAAGGAAACCACTAGCAAACAAAATGAAAATGAATAATATTGAGCTTTCAGCAGCAAGTACTGCATTCAGCATAAAAAATCATTAGCACAGCATTTCCCCAGTGCTAAAGGACAATAGCGACTAATTCATTCAGTATTACACAGCAGCAGATATAGGCTCCAGTCATCATTCCTCAGTTAAGCATATAAATTTGATCTTTATTCCTGTGCAATTCAAATCCAGCTGGGCTCATGTTAGATGTGCAACTAAGGCACTAATTATTTTTTCAAGGAAATCCCAAGAAACCATGTTCATTTAAGCTTATTTCCCTGCTATACCTTATCTCAAGCAGCAGAAATCACATTCTCATTTTGTCCTTGTGCCAGCCAAAGTTGCTGAGTGGAAGAAATGTTTCTCATCTGCCAGGTTAGGTGATTGTGTGAGCCAGTGGAAGGTCTGCTAT